CTTCCCTCCTCGCGCCGGGACGGACCTGGCGTTAAGGGCCGCGCGGGGGAGCCTACCTGGAGCCGGGCGGGACGCGCGAGGGGGAGGCCGAGCTGCGGGGCTGTCGGGTTTTATGCCTCCCGCGCGGTTCCGGTTTTGTTTTCGATTCGGGCACCCGCGCGGTTCCTGCTTTGTTTTCGATTCTGGCGGCGCGCGAGGGTCTCCCAGAGGCCATTGAGTGAGCGCCGTGCGCAGGGCTCGGGGGTGTCGCGGGACCGACAAGCGGAGCCCTCGGCACATTCGCTTTAGCGCAAGGGTCCGCTTGGACTGGAAAGCAAACGAGGCCACATAAAGTATTTATGAGCAGGAGTTGAGGGAACTTTTAAGTCTTCCACTTTACTTAAGTGCTCACAATTGTAAATTGGTTCTTGAAGTGCTGGCAAATGATTATGTTTTAAAGTGATGCTTTCTGGAGCACAGAAGGGCACACAAGTTCATCACAAACTCTCCTAATCAGCACTTAGATTTTTTTAATAGCAACGTGATTCATATGTGCATGTCCAAATCCATGAGGGATTGCTGTATTTCTCATTAAACCTCTATCTGTATTCTAGTCAGCTCTAGAAGAGTTTTTTTTTTAAGACAATTTTCATAAAATAATCTGATTCAAGAGTAGAAATCATGTTTATTTTGGGCAGTTGCTTAAATGTCTCTTTAACTTGTATGTAGTTCATGAAACCTTATAGTTCTGTGTTGAGATAGTTGCTGTCTCTGTCAGTTTGCGTATAGTAGAGTGTGATCTAGAGGAACATTCATGTCTGCAAAAGTGCTTGGGAACTACAGCAAATAGCACTGTTGTGAGTTGGCACAGGAATTCCTTTGAGCATTGAGAACATTACCGTGATAAAAGCGTGGTGAGCTGGAGTATTGGTCTTTATCTAGTGATGCTGGAGGCAGAGATGATGCTTAGATTTTAGATCTGAGAATAGCTCAGCATGAAGGCTTGAGACCAAACCCAATAAATGCAGCTTTAATTAGCAGCGAGGCAGTGCTGCTGTCTGAACTCTGTGAACATCTGACTCCAACTCACTAATTCACTGCTATTTAAAAAAAAAAAAAAAGTTCATTTTGGTATTGTGGAGTTGGTGATCTATCAAAATAGTTATAAAAGCTCATGCATCCTATTAGTCAGTGTTTTGCTTTCTCCATCACTATTTTTACCAGCATACCTAGCAGCAACTACTTACCTTGGAAGATAAACCAGTTACCTAAGATGAGTCTGTTGTGTAATTGTAGAGGAAATCTGACAGGAATGTTGGAGATAGCACCCTTTCGGGAAGGAAGGTGTCCTGAGGTCCCTCATGGGCAGAGGCGGCCAGTTCACCCTATGTATTGTTGATAACTTCTCCTTTCCACATGTGCAAAGGAAAGTCTGCTGGGCAGGGTCTTACCTTGGAGCCTCTAGAGTTTCCCAGAGTTTTAGGCTGGGAGTATGTATGTGAGTTAAACAGCAACAAGGTGGGAAATTAGGAGGAAAAAAATAAAAAAAGTTAAACTAAGATAGGAGAGGAGCAACTATAGGGGCGTGTGGAAAGCAGGTGGTACTTGTTCAGACAGGTGTTGGACATCATAAACTTAATTGTGTGGAAAATCTACTTCATGTTCCCTAGGGATCAGAGGCATGTGGTTGTGCTTTTAAAGGGTCGATGTATTTAAGCTTACAGGAACTGAAACTTCAGTGTGTCTAGAAAAATAGATGGAAGCTTTAGATAGTTTCAACAGCGTCATTGCCACACTGCTTGTTCCCTTGACATTCTAAACAAAACCTAATGAGCTGTGTTCGCTGTTCTCCTCTTTCTTAGCTCTAGTATAGCAGATATCATGGGAATTGCACTTTAGTTCTTAAACACATTTTTTTTTTACTGTCTTTGTGGGAGTCTTGGGGGGAAAAAAAAGACTTGAGGTGGCAAAAGGGGAAAAGGGAGGAGTAGGAAGAAAGATAAAGAGTTAAAAGTTATTTGAGGTACACAGTGTAAGGAGTGGTAATTGCCCATCAGCTTAGATGCAGACATTTAAGATGACTAAAATGATGGAAGTGAATGGGAAAGAGAGAAATTATGGCTTCTGCTCAATATAAATCCCATAGCTGGGCAAGAATCTGTTAGGGCACGACTGCAGATATAATATGTGAATAAACTGAGGAGGGCTCATAGGTATGGATGGCAAGCTCTGGGAGGGCTTGGCCTGGGAGGCTGCTCCTGCCCTGCAGTTTCAGTTTTGCTTCCAGTTGATTTCAGTTCATGAACTTTCTCTTCTCTGTGGTGACTCGGTGCTGAGCGACTTCGCAGCAGTGTTGCTGTCTACATCCGTTGTGGTGAGCACAGGCAGGGAGGGAAAAAGAAACACAGTCAGTTCAGAACTGACTCTAGAAGTATTCAGGCAGGAAGTTTTCATGTCCAAGTTTGTCTGCTGTGAAGTTTTTGATGTGAATCACTGAACTGCCTCTTCAGGAACCCTGCTCAGCATTTTATTGCACCTCGAGTGCTTGTTATGGCAGCAGAGGCATGAGACAAGCTCTCACTGAGACTTGCTCTGCAATTTCACTGTAGCCATTTCTCTTCCTTTCTTTCCTGGGTCTCCCCTAATTTTTTGTTTGTTTTTGACCTTGATTTTTTTTTGTCTGATGCTCCAAGAAAGCCAGAGGAGGAATTGTAACACATTTTTCCCAATCAATAGTAAATATGTCTTAACTATCAACAGAGATATACCCTTCTCTGGGTATATACTGAGCAGAAGTCACGTTGGCCAAATCACATTGGTGGGTCCCAGCATCCTCAAACATTTTAGAGAGGAGAAGGTAGCATCTGCAGTTACTGGTATTTCCTTGTTTGACTTTGTGCAGGTGTGCATTTGGAGCATTAAAGGCAGGGGGAGCAGCCGAGAGCTGGCTAAAGTATGTGTGACCCCCCAGGAGCTCTGCTGGCCCAGACATGCAGTTGCAGGGCTCCCTTGCTGCTGAAGGAAGTTACTGGCTAATGTTTGACAAAAGGATTAAAAAAGACCGTGCCTAACAAGTCCGTCCAGAAAGTAAAACATTTGCCATTTAGATTGGTGGAATAATAGTGCTAACCTAGGGAAGTGATCCACGTCCAAGTGATACACATTAAGAATATCTTAGTTTATTTTTAGTTCCTCTGTCCACTAGTGAGCTGTTTCTTGAACCCTTTGTTGCTTCTCTGTCAGGCTGTGGGAAGGGTTTGGATGAAATTTGGATAAAACAGCAGGACTCCAATTGTACTGTCTCCTTCCAGCCTGTGCCAACAGCGCTGGCTCAGGTAGACCGGGAGAAGATCTACCAATGGATCAATGAGCTGTCCAGCCCCGAGACGCGGGAGAACGCGCTGCTGGAGCTGAGCAAGAAGCGGGAGTCTGTGCCTGACCTTGCCCCGATGCTGTGGCACTCATTTGGCACGATTGCAGCCCTCCTTCAGGTGGGTAGGATTGACAGTATCCTTATTCCAGGGCTCAGCATCCACGCAGTGCAGAGCTGCTGTCCGTGAACTATATCTAGGACACCCTAATGAGGTCCCTTATTGTTGCTGGGCATATGGTGTGTGGTGGGGAATGTCGGGAGTGGCTGATAGGAAATCTGTATCTAGTGTTTGCCATTAGTCATCACTAGCAAGACCATATTTGTAGGCACTATAAGAGAAATCTGCATAGTTGGGAAGGGAATGGATGAGCTGAGATCTCTTTAGATTTTACATCAGCCTGAACTTGGTCAGAAAGCGGCCCATACCCTTCCCAGCCAGCAGGAAGGATAGGGAAATACTGCTCCCTGTTCCAGAGATATCTGCTCAAAGTCAACTGTGCAGCTCTTTGCTGGGCCAACATCCTCTACAGCTCTATTCTGTTGACTGGCCACCTTCCAGTGCAGAATATGGTCAGAACAATAACAAATGATGCAAATAATTGGAAAAAAAAAAAAAGGATTGAAAATGGTGCAGAATGTAGTCAATTTAGATGAATGATGGAAAAGCAGTCAGAATGTCAAACTGCTTTCAAAGTGACCTGAAAACAAGTGGAGAAAATTAGAAGGGAGTTATGGTGGAAAGTAGGCAGATTTCTGAATTGGATTTCTCACCCTCAGCTGCTTCCCCTGTATTGAGGGAGAAGAGTGCCAGCAGGATGAATAGACTCGGGAAATTCAAACAAAACAGTTCCCTACTAGCAAAGAGACAGGAAATTAGCTGAACTGTTCTCTTCCAAAATTAAGGTTTAGCTGCATCCCTCATGACTGCTCATCAAATTGATTCTGGCCCAGCTTTCCCCTTTCTTGGGCAGCACGATGGCTGCCATGTAACCTGTCTTGGTGAAAGGGGACTCTCATCTCTTGACACCATCCTTGTTGGGCAAGTGCTGTTGTGCAACTTGCCGATGGCTTTTCTCCCTTAAGTTTTCTTCATCTGTTAATTTTTAGGAAATTGTAAATATTTATCCGTCAATCAACCCTCCAACTCTGACAGCCCATCAGTCCAACAGAGTCTGCAATGCTTTAGCTCTACTCCAGTGTGTTGCATCACATCCCGAAACAAGGTGAGTGTTTCCACATGCATGAGCTTTCTGAGAAGTTAATGTTGGCAGCTCCATCAGTCTGGCTGCAGAAGCAGGTGAGCTCCTTTGTGCGCTCTTACCAAGAGAAGTGGAACAGCACACAGAGCTGGAGGACAGGCAGCTGCCTGCTCCTTTCCCTTGTTTGTACAGATAACCAAGTTGACAGGCCGGCTAAGCCAAAATAAGTTGCCAAAACCCAGAAGATGATAACCCAGAGAGCCATGATCTCACATTTCTATTCCTTTTTTAGGGTAGCTGAAGCTGCTTATCAGCTGGCACAAGTTAGCGTTGAACAGCAACCCTCTATCAGACAGTGACTAAAGAAACAGGCTAATTTTATACTAGATGTCTTTATAATTAAAGTTGAGAAGGTAGATAGAAGAATGTTGGATGTTTATGCAAGACAGTTAGCATGACAGTCTCCAGGTTTCTCCATGCAGTCTCTGTTTTTCTCAGCTGTCAGAGAGCAGCGTGCGGGCTCTTTGGGTAGGTGAGTGAGCACCCTGATGTTTACACAGTGATAGTACCTAGAAACCAGCCTGTGTGTATTGAATTCCTTTTGTGCTGAGACTATGCACAGGCGTCACAACTAACTGCCCTGTGAGCCCGTGAGCTGCAGGGGGGTATGTCACTGTGGGTGGAATGAGCCATGACTCTGCATGGCAGGAGGAGGTAATAGCAGTAATAGGTCTATACCTGGTAAGCTGGAAGCAGCTGTGTAAGGGACTGGCCATTTAGGCATTAGGTTTTGTGCTGTGCACAGTGCAGTAGTTCCTTTTCATCGGAGAACAAACTGTTACCCTCTTTTGAGGAGCGTCAGCAACACTGTCCAGGAATAGGTTTACGCTGTGTGGTAATACTGGATTTTGTGCTTATATGACTTTCCTTGTGTCTCACACTGGCTATTCTCCCTTTCGTACAGGTCAGCTTTCCTGGCAGCTCACATCCCTCTCTTCCTGTACCCCTTCTTGCACACAGTCAGCAAGACGCGGCCGTTTGAGTACCTGCGGCTCACGAGTCTCGGAGTGATTGGTAAGCAGCCAGGGTAGTGCTGCCCGTTTCCTATCGAGTTGGATACATTTTGTGCTGTGTGTGTAGGCATCAGCATGACCAGAGTCACAGGTGTGTTTTTACCAGCATCTTCTGAGTCCTGTAGTATTAACAGAAGGATAAGCTTTTTTTTTTTTCAGGCAGTCACCCTGGCATGTTCCTGTGACTATGTAGGAAATTGATTTTCAGCAATAAGGAGTTGTGGTGCCCAGCTGCATTGCCAGAAATATCTATCTGCCATGAATGGAAGCAGCAGCAGTCTGTTGTGCCTTCACCCTCAAAACAGACACCTAGATGCTGGGCTGCTGGGTGCGGATGGGAGTTTTTTTTGCCTTTTTACCATTCATTTACTTGGCTGTATTTTCCATCTTCCTCCCCGCCTCCAATTTTTTTTTCCTCACCAAAACATTTCTGCCTTCATGCATAAAATGAGGGTCTTGAAATGCATTTCCTCTTGCCAGAGGTTGCTGCTGAATAACTGATAGGAATGATCCTCTTGCGTCTGTGTTATTGCCAGGGGAGAGCCAAGAATGTGCCCCTTTTCTGAGAAAAAAAATGCCCCCAGTTGAGCATGATTACCTTTATGCTGCTGAAATGATCTGCTGCAATGTATTCAGAATGATTTTTGCTTTGCCCACTATCCAGATCTAACAGTCCTTGGCAAGGGCACAACACAGGATGAATGATGAGATTATGTGGAACAATTTGTCATGTTTTGATTTTTCTTTTCCCTTCAAGGGGCGTTGGTGAAAACAGATGAGCAAGAAGTGATTAATTTCTTATTGACAACAGAAATTATCCCCTTATGCTTACGTATCATGGAGTCTGGCAGTGAACTCTCCAAAACGGTATCTACTATTTGTTTTAATTAAGACTTGTTGTTGTTTGCCTCCAACAGTTCTGGCAGACAGTGACTTGCAGGCTTGGTTTGTGTCCTGTCCTCAAAAAACACTGCTAAGCTTTGAGCTGGAAGTTCCTCAGTTGGGTAGTTCTGTGGGGCAAGATCTTTCTGGCCTTAACAGCCATTCCCTCCCCTATAGCACTGCAGTGACTTTCAACTTTCTTGGCCCAAGAGAGCAAGTGCAGTAAATAGACAGCACAGAGGAGAGTTCATCAGGCTGGAGCAGGCCAGTGTGGCCCCTGGTCAGGGTCCCCTGTGCAGCATGAGCTCAGGTCTGTGCTCTGGTCTGCTCTGGTGACCTGGGTGGCACAGGCCACGGATTTTGGTCTGGGTGCTTCTCTGTGCTGAAGGGTAGTGACGCATCTGAATGGAATTCACGCAGGAAGTCATTTATCTTGTGACCAAGCAGTAGTGCTCAGGATGAAAACTAAAGTCTACTGTGCCATAGAGGACAGGGCCAAGGAACAGATACTTCTGGTTCTTTCTCTGTGACTAGAATAATATGGCTGTGACTCTGAAGCTGTCCTGAGAAGCTCAGTCCTAGCTACTATCTGTTGCAGCCTGCACCCAGTCTTAGTGTAGGCCCTGCTCTGTATCTGCCTCTTTCCTTAAGTCAGAGATGCCAAACACTGTGTAGTGTCCCGTGTTTCCTTTCAGCTTCCCTTCAGCTTTCCTTTCAGTTTCCTTTCGAGTACAGCATTAGCTGTCTGTTAAAGGGCCTTTTAGCCCTCAGCCTGCCATGATGAGAACTCAGCACGAAGACTGATCCCTTTCAGGACGGATGGGTTGTTTATGAATTCTGTTTTCTGCTTTCTCCCTGTTCTAGGTTGCTACATTTATTCTCCAGAAAATCCTCCTGGATGACACAGGACTGGCATATATCTGTCAGACGTACGAGCGATTTTCCCATGTTGCCATGATACTGGTAGGATTTTTTTTTCTTAGAGAAAAAAGCCCCTTTTCAGCAGCTATTTTACTGTTGTCTGCCTAGAGCAAAGGCAAAGTTCTTTCCTTTTGCATGATGTCAGAGCAGATGAATTTCTTCCATGCTTCATATGACATTTTGATTTCTTCTGTGTGTTGTAAAATGTTAGTTTTCCTTGGTTGCAGCCCCAGAAAGATGCATGTTATAGTAAGGAAACACAAAAATAAAATCCAAAAGCTGCCTTTCCTTCTGAAATGCCTATGGAATTTCAGGGGTGGAACAGAAGTCTGTTTTCCATAACAGGTGGAATAAGATGCCAAGGCATGAGTAAGAACAGGACAAAGGTTGGATTTTTCTGGACGCAGTAGTGAGTTTTCTGTATAGTAACCTGGACTTTTCTCCAAGTGTTTGTCTTCCCCTTGAAACCATGGAATCTTTGTGCATCCATGGTGTCCTTTACCAAGGAGTTCCATGGATTTCCCATTTGCTGCCTGGAAGGTCCATCTCCTTTTGTTTATTTTGGAGCCTGATTCCTGAGCTGACCACAGTTCTTGTACTGGAAGCCACAGAGCAAATAATTCCTGTCTGTTCCCTGTCCACTAGGAAGGAGAAGTTTTGATACCCAAATTCCATTCGTTCAAAGAGCAATAGCCCCAGCTTGAGCATTGTCTCTGAGCTTGCTAAGGGGAATATAGGTTTGCGCAGGAATAGCAGATGTTCTGCTTTTTGTCCTTTCTTATTTCTCTCGAGACTGCTCTTAAAATGCAGTATAAATTTCTGTGCTTACCACTCCTGATTCTGTGACTAAATACTGATGCTTTCATGGAAATGTTTGTTTATATATCTATTTTCCCAAATCTGAAGAAAACTTATTTATTTTCATTCTAATCAGTTTTACCCATGAACAGCAAAATAGGAAAGCTTTAGAACTCATGTCTAAAATGTCCATTGTAATAGGATTTTGCAGTTGCTAATGGGATCAGCTGTGGATGAAAATACATCTGGCTTGGGGCAAAGGGGAAAAAAAAAGCAATTAGAAGCTGAAACCATTGGGTATGGAAGGGAAGGAAAACGAGGAAGAATTTGTGGCAGGAAAGAGCATGAACATGGAGGGCTGTGAGCATCTCATGCTCTGTTAGCATGGAGGAACCCTAGCTGTGGTATAATCCCACTACTGGATGGAGTGCTGACATGATTAATATTCCCTAACGCTCTGAAGGAAGATGGAGATGTGCTGTAAGCATTTCTATTCTGAATTTCAGAGAGTCAGCATAATGTATTTCTGGTTTGTGAGGATGATTACTTCCTAATCCACTGGTACATGAATAAGATGTTAAGTAAGTATTAGAGGCTTTAAAAACAGTGGATTGGTAATTCTTGTCCAAGAGATGTCTAAAGTACTCTCTGGCCTCTCGCTTATTATTTTGGGGAATTCTTGAGGACTAAAAGCTTGCAAAAGGATAGGCGAGATGACCTCATTAATTGCTATCTGAACTGAGTAAATATCTGAAATCAGGTAAATATGGCTAATGGGAAGTGGTTAGTGCTGGTCCATATTTTGTGGGGACAGGAACTTGCCAGGCAGATGTGATTCAGCTCTTGAACAGCAGCCGTCGGATCTGCGCTGCCCGCCACGCTGGGTACGTCCAGGGTGACAGATTGGCATGCAGCCGTGTGCAGAGTCCTAGAGAATCTGAGAAACAAACCGGGATGGGGAGATCTGCTCTGATTTTGTTTCCCAGGATCAGCTTTATGTGAGTGGTGGAGCAGAAAGTGAAAAATACAGCTCTTGGGTGTTAAATAATACCAGAATGTGGGTCTAACAGAGTGGGTGAGCCCTGGTCTTTAGAATGGCTTTCCAGGCCCTTAGCAGAGTTTTAAAAGGGTGGTGAAAATGGCAGTGCAGATGAGAACATGGATTATTGCTGAGGGCATGAACGTCCCTCATGGGCTGACTGAAGCCGAGCTTATCAGAGTGTCCGAGATACGTTTGCATTCCTCTGTGAAAACAAGAATCCAGATTCCCTGTAACCTAGCAGAAATTTTGAAGCGGGAAGCATTTGCAAATAGAGGAAACAAAGTAGAGAGGAGCTGAGCTTTCCCACCAGCTGCTGAGACTCCTTCTCCAGCTGTGGCTAGCTGCCCTTCTCAAAGGTGTCTTGGCAAGTGAGGTTCTCCCTACAGGGATATCTGGATGAAATATAATGGGCTGTGGTGAGTAGGAAAACAGAGTGAGTGGTTTAATGGTCTTTCCCAGTCTTCACTGATTGTGAAGCTATTTTTATAAAGACCTTTTTTTTTTTTTTCTAACTGCTGGCACTGGCCTCTTTCAAACAGGGTAAAATGGTCCTGCAGCTTTCCAAGGAGCCTTCAGCACGGCTGCTGAAACACGTTGTCCGCTGTTACCTTCGTCTGTCCGATAACCCCAGGTAAACATCTTAGGAGTTTGAGCAGGGGCTTCTTCCATCTACCTTGCAAACGCAGCCCTCTCCATCGCGCCCGCTCAAAGCGGGTCAGAGTTGCTGTCTGTCCTTGCATCAGCCGTAGCTTAGTGTAGGTAGTGCTTTTTTTTCTGCCACTGGCACCAGGAGTTCTTAGGTGGGGGAAACAGTGACACTCTAGAGCTTTGCAGGTTTGAGCTTAGCATAGCTGTAGCTCGGCTAGGTACAGGGGAGCCCTGAGGTGGAAGGTAGGCCGTGCCCTTCCTCTTCTGCGTGGTGGGAGCCGTTAGCGGAGAAGCCAGTAGATGACATTCTGGTACAAAATCCATGTATTTCCATGGCTGACCAGCAGCGAACTCTTGCCCGCTCTGGAATCGCGCTGCTGGCAGGTGTCAGGGCATGGGGACTTGCTCAGTGGGCCATGGCCTAAGGGATGGGAGCCGTGCTGGCTGGCAGAGCCCTGCGTGTTGGGCTGCTCGGTGGTTACCTCCTGCCAGGGAGACACCCCCCTTCCCCTCCTGGCAGATGAGCGTTGTGTTCCCAGTGGGGTTCGCTCCCCTCCTGCCCCTGTGAGTTTATTTGTTGGGCCCCTGTTTCTTGTCTCTTGATGTAGGGCACGTGAAGCTCTCAGGCAGTGCCTTCCTGACCAACTGAAGGACACCACCTTCGCGCAGGTCCTGAAGGATGACACCACCACGAAGCGCTGGCTGGCTCAGCTCGTCAAGAACCTGCAGGAGGGTCAGGTCACTGACCCGCGGGGCATCCCTCTTCCTCCGCAGTGACTGCTGGTGGAGGTGGTGGATCAGGGAAGAAACAGCTCAGGTTTACAGAGAACCAGGAACAGATGACCTCTTCCACAAGAAACTGGGCATGCCAGCTGGCGTCCAGCCTGCCAGCTTGTAGGGCCATTCCACCCAGGCAAAGGGCTGCTCTGTAGCAGTGCAGCGTGCCTCTGGGGATCACAACACCAGCAAATACTGACATTGCAGCTTGAGAAATCAATAAAAACAGTTTGTAGAGATCCCCGTCTCTCCAGAAGGCTTGGCTGGCATCTGTTCCTCCAGAGCCAGGCAGGGGATAGAGCAGAGGCCTACGCTTCCAGCTAGCTCAGTCTCCACACGAGCAGTGTGTGGCACAGGGTGCGTGGTGTGTCCCTCTGGTTCCTTGTCACTCCGTGTTTACAAGTCTGTTCAGATGATCAAGCTCAATAAAAGCTGGTCCAGTTGTAGCCGCTCTTCAGCCTGCTCCTCCGCTGCCGGTAGCCTGGGGACTCGCTCTTCCCTGCGAGCACATCCTTGCTCCAGGCCACACGTCCCGCTGGCACAGCAAGCTTCCCTCTTGCTTTTCTCTGGCACAAAGGCAGCAGCTGGAGCCGGGCCCACTGCAGTATTGGCCCCAGGAGGAGGGTAGATTACTTGCAGTGAAGCCATGCATCATAAGCTGGGTTTTCAGGGCGCTGGGGGAGGAAGAGACAGCAGGACTGTGGTTCTTGTGCTCTAAATAGTGCATTTCCTCAGCCTCTGCCGCTCTCGAGCGGCATTAAGCAGGGGTCTAGCAGAGCTCCTGCGCAGCAGGGCTGCTGCCTGGCTTGTCAAACACGGCTCAGCAGTGGGCAACCTGCCTGCCAGGGGCCAGCAATCCACGTGCTGATGCCCCCCTGCCCCGGAGCGCTGCATCCTGCATGCTCCAGGTATCCCAGCGCCTGCCTCCCCTGCTGCCCATGGGGCCTCTCAGCGCTGACCCCTTCCCCTTGCTCCACAGTTCACCAGTGCCAGCCAAACGCAGCCGTTCCAGCCCTCCCTCAGCCCCGCTGCAACTGAAGGGTCTGCGCGAGGAGCCGCGCGCTGCCCTGCTGCGCTGAGGGGCGAGCGCGGGGCCGGCAGCGCCTTGCGCTGGCTCTTGGCTGCAGGCAACCTGTCCCCCCATCCCGGTACATAGCGCCGCTCCCTGCCAGCTGGTGCTGCAGATCAGTGTTGTGCCAACAGTGTCTTAAATCCCTTCTGGTTTCCCCTTCCTCCTCCCGCGGAGCCTTGCATAACCGGGGCAGAGCACGGCCTCCCTTCCTAGCCCCTGGCTCCCCTTTTGTAACTGTCGCTGCCGCATTTTTCCGCCTCTCTGCCCTGGCGGTGACAGGGTAGGATGTGAAAATGCTTCTGTTTTTGTAAATTCAGATTAATAAAAAATGCAACCCCAGCCAGCACGAATTGCTCCCCGCCTGGTCTCTTGAGGAGGGGAGTGGACAGCGAGGGGTGATCACTGCGCATGGGATGAAGGGGGTTGTGCCGGCTCCTCCGTGCCTGTCCGCTGGCGCCGGCGGGCACAGACCCTGCTCCCACAGAGCTTCCCTGCGCGGCAGCGCTTGGCCACAGTCGCTCCCTGAGCTGTCACCTCCGGAAAGGTAACAGGAGGGGTCTGGGGAGGAGGTGCCCCCCTGCAGCAGCCCCTGGGGCTTTGTGCTGCTGCTGCTGTCTGCCCTTCTGGCTGTTGCCCTTGGGAAGGGCCGGATCTCCAGGGTGAGCTCTGCAGCCAGGTGTGCCCGGCGGCTCCCGCTGGCCTCCAGCACCCCAGCCTGCCGGGGCATCTGCCCTGCTTTTTGGCTGCAAAGTGCTGGCAGGCAACCTGTGTGGGGACACGTCCCAGGACAGGGACGCTGGGGGCACCCCAAGGCACTCTGTCTGCCCCGGCTGTCGGGGCCTTGGTGCGGGATGAGCAGCAGTTCGGGGCCGCGGTGTCAGGAACAGGGAGCCCGGGGTGGGGGACGCAGAGGGAGGCAGACCGGGG